TGGCCGACCCAATCCCTGCTCTGCTGCTCCCCTCCCTGGCGAAACCTGACCCAGAGTCGCGCTGAGCGTCTGCCCCTGACGGGAATGAAATCATAGAGTAGACAAGATACCGAGATAAGATGGAGGAGACCGCAAACCTATGCGCTCCCACGACGGAGCCCATCCGCCTGTCACGCTCCCTGTNAGAGAGAGAGAGAGGAAGGAGAGAGAGAGAGAGAGGAAGGAGAGAGAGAGGGAGAGAGGGAGAGGGAGGGAGGGAGAGAGATAGGGAGAGAGTATTTCGGACATGTTTAAATTGGAAAAGATCATTAAAATGAACTTGCTCATAAATATTTCTTTTCATAGCACTGCCTAAAACTATATATAATAAATACATTGTAAGCTAATAATGTATTAACATACAACATAAAATGCAACTGCATCTCTTCATCTAAAATGTATGACTATTCATAATGAGTTTTGCAGGACTGAAGGTGTGAAGTCACTCTATGGGACTGTGGCTCTGCCTTTGGTGATGCCCAGCTGGAAGACTGGAAGTTGATCTGACATCAGATGAAACTTCGGTCTGCCACATCATACCATTTCATACCATGATGACTTCAGCAATTTCTATGTTCAATATATTTTAACATGGGGAAAACATTTCATTATTACTTTAAATACTTTCCATTTCAATCAAACCATCTGTAGTCATAAAAGATAACAGCCTACAGACACTTGTTTCTGTTTAGCAGAATTTCCGTAAAATTCCAAACCCTAAACATAAGGCAGAAAATCCATGTTTTTGTGCATGTTATCACTGTCATATTTTGGTTCCTTCTTATTCATCCCACATGATTGTAATCCACTTAGAATATTTCTCTTTTCTGGTACACATGCAAGAATATATTGACTTAATTTGAATAATTTGAAAGACATTACTTTTATAGAACAAATGTTTTACAATAAAATATTAGTGTCTCTTTTCATTTAATAATATAAGTAAAAGGAAGTGGAGAAGATTAACTTCATAAACCAACAGGAGAAAGAAAATCATTTGTAAGCTATTACTTTTATAGAACAAAATTTTACAACAAAAATCAATGTAACTTTCCGTCTATTGATCTAAATAAAAGGAAGTGGAGAAGAAAAGAGGTGGAAGGAGAGATTAAATGGGAAGAGGGATGAAGGGATGGGAGAGAGAGGGGAAACACTGGAGAGGGATGGAAGGCCACGGTTTGGAAGGAAGTGGCGACGGGTGAGGAGGAAGGAAGAGGGTTTGGAAGGTGGTGATGGGTGAGAAGGGGGGGAGGGAGGGGAGGGAGGAAGGAGGTCGTAATAACTTCGTATAGCATACATTAGACGAAGTTATACGAGTGAGAAGGGAGAAAGGAGGTGGTGAGGGGTGAGAAGGGAGGAAGGAAGCAATGAAGTGGTGAAAAGGTATGAAGGAAGAGGGTTTGGAGGGGGGTGAGGGGTGGGAAGGGGGGGAGGGGGTGGTGGGGGTGAGAAGGGAGCACGGACGCGGGTTTGGAAGCTGGTGGTGAGGGGTGAAAAGGGAGGAATGGAGGAGGTTATGGAAGGAGGTGGTGCGGGGTGAGAAGGGAGCAAGGATGTGGTGAGGGGTGAGAGGGGAGGAAGGGGGGGAGGGGCGAGAAGGGAGGAAGGTAAGAGGGTTTGGAAGCAGGAGGTGAGGGGGGAGAAGAAAAGAAGGAGGTAGTGAGGCGTGGGAGGGGAGGAAGGGAAGAGGGGGTGGGGGGTGAGAAGGGAGCAAGGATGTGGTGAGGGGTGAGAGGGGAGGATGGAAGAGGGTTTGGAAGCTGGTGGTGAGGGGTGACAAGGGAGGAAGGAGGGGGGGGTGAGGGGAGGGAAGGGAGGGAGGGAAGAGTTGGGGAGGGGGGAGAAGGGACGTAATAACTTCGTATAGCATACATTATACGAAGTTATACGAAGTTTAGAAGGAGGTGGAGAGGGGCTAGAAGGGAGGAAGGCAGTGGTTATGAGGGGTGAGAAGAGAGGGAGGAAGAGAGTTTGGAAGGAGGGGGGGAGGGTGGGAAGAGAGGAAGGGAGGAAGGAAGA